TTAATTAGTGAGTTTATTTAACACTAGAACCGCCAATCGGGTCAATTTGTGTGATGTGTGTGCAATGTAGCCTAACTTTGTTTCAATAAAATATTAAAGTATCTTACAGTTATACTTTCGTAAACCTGAAGTGAATACATTTTGGATTACTTATTGGAATTATTGGTGGAAAGATTTCCTCACAACATTTAATATTCATTAGGCTACTAAAGGAACAGCCGAATTATCACAGCGCACAAAACCTATTACCGCCGCAGATGGACCAAAAACGGGAGCGTTTGAAATTTTTTTGCGGGTCCGCTCAGTGAAACAATAACAACGAAACATGGAGGAACACAAGTCTGCTAAAGTTAATTTAGCTGCTGGAGAAGAAAGATCAGGGGGGGAGGGGGGAGAGAGCTGTGGTTGATGGGCCATTAGTTTTGTAAATACACAGCTGAGCTGCCATTTCATTCGACTGTTTAAAAAACGGTGACATCGGACTATTTTTCTTAGCGGATGCATGTCAATTTAAATCAATACATACAACTCTTTTTTTAAATCAATAAAAACATTTTATAAATCCATAAAACCATTTCAATTAATATTGGGAGTCATGTCGTTACTTTGTTGAGAATGTGGCCATAAACGGGATAATTTGGGTGTACGCGTCGGGATCCTGATCTGCCGACGAGGCTCCATTAAAATATAAATATTGTTAGTGAATTACTGAGTTTAGGCACGTTAATAACGTTTTAATGAAGTTGAATACAGTATATTCATTTGTGTCAGTGATTTCATGTCAATTCGGCGAACATAAACATAAATGATCGTGGTGAAGATGATGATTAAATTAGGATAAAAAATTGAGAGCCGGGCTGTATTTCCTCCGGTTCGTTTTTTTCGACTAAACAACATTATTTTGTTAAACAACAACATGGTGATGTTTTGTAAATGATTACATGTCTCTTATTTAGCACAGAATATGATATCCGTGACATATGGATCTTAACAAAGTTCCGCTGTACATCCATCCAGCGTACTGTATCTTACTTTATTTCGCATGAGCTCCAGTGTGCATGGAACCCCACTGCATCCCCTGGTGGATCAATGATCCATTGCAGCTGGCTTCATAATAATTACATTTATTTATCACGGGGGCGGTCTCAAGTCAAGCTGGAGGTTTTTGAGCGAGGGCAGATCGGGCCCGGCGCCATGAGGGGGCAAAAGGGGGCATTGCCCCCTCAGTTGTATTCTTTGCCCCCTCACTTTGAGCATCATTCATCCATCAAAAAGTACAATAAATGTCACAATTATTAAATAACTTTAAATAATTATTTTCCCCATTACACGTTACTATGTTTAGATCAGATATGTGGGCAGGCAGTCAAGCAACGTGTAAAAAAGCCTCAACCCCAAGTGAGCTTGTAGTCTTAATGTTAGCGTGTGTGCAGATGTAAACACAGTCGGATGGTTGACCAAAACGTCCCCGTTTTCCGGGTAGAATCCCCGTTTTCGGTGGCTGGTACCCGGTTGAAACTCACGAAAAATATTCCCGTTTTTGAACGTGCGTTAAAAAAAATAGAGCAAGGTGAAATCAAATGTTATATGTCAGTAAAAACAGAGTAACAGTGTTGTGCCTGTTTGTAGCGTTAGGGTATTTCTTCTTCTACTACTTCGTCTTCTTCTTCTTTTTTCTTTAATGGCGAATCGCTTCCACTTGGAGCATATATCGCCACCTACTGTTGATTTATTAAATGTTTATATTAAATCCTTGTCCTCCGACCAGTGTTTTTGAGGAACTTGAAGATCAGCTTGTTTACTTCATTTCTTGATTTACTTTCGTATATTGACTTGAAATCCATGTCCTTGATGTTATGTTGTTCCAGTGCAGTTTTCAGAATGAGTCTTTGTCTGTTATAATCCGGGCAGCTAAAAAATACATGATGTAATTTTTCTCCCCAATTTTCGGCGCCCCCGATGAGTTGATGCATTCGCCTATGCCAAGGGCCGGCCCTGGTGAAAACAATATGACATCAACAAAAAATAAGACAACTACAGATAGCACCACACATGATGGTTACTTGTTATTATTTAGGGCTGCCTGTATGGATCAGGTTTTTGCCAAAGCGAGCTCTTTTACTATAATAATAATATGTTATGTATTATATCAACCGTATTGGTACAATGAGCGACATCTAGTGACGGATTTTGGAACATTGATTTGATTTTTCTCATGGCAGTTAGACTCTAGAGACAAATCAGGGGACTTTATTTGTATTTTTAATCTGTGTCTGTCCATTTGGTGTAGTATTTGATCCAATATTACATTTGGTTTATATATTAGTCACTTTCTTATGGAATGCCAGGTTTTAGGCCTTGATTTGAACATTCAATCCTGAAAATAAAAAATCAACCAGATTAATGTTTCTTTAATCCTGACCTGACTAGAGTAGATAGTAAGTAAGTAAATCTGTATAGGAAGACGAGTTAAGGGATAGAGGAGAAAAGGTTATGGTATAATTACAGAGCCTGTCCATTTATAAATTGAGGAAATCAATGTTAGTCTGTTAACCAAAGTGCAGCCATCTAATAATGTACTATCTATTATTAAAGATCAGAGGAAAATAACAGAATGAGAGGGGTAAATCCAGAATAAAAAATAAAGAAGCAAAGAGATTGTAGAGCAGTGAGAAGGAAAAAAGCTCGGTGTGTCAATTCATTACATTGCCAGTATTTTTTGTTGTTGTGAAAAAAAAATCGCCCCCTCTGATTTTTTAACAGCCCCCTCAGTCATTTAATCCTGGAGCCGGGCCTGGGGCAGATCACGTACCAATCACGGCCCTCGCGTTTCAAACTGTCCGAAATGAGGTGCTACATCTGTAGCTTGTGGATTTACTCCAGGTGTAACTAAAGTCTGACTTAAGAGCTGATTATATTTCACATCATTCATCCACATCATTCATCCACAAGTAACTAAAGTTACTAAATAAATGTTGTGGAGTAAAAGTACACGATTGACCTCTGAATTGTAGTGGAGTAGAAGTACAAAGTAGCATACAATGGAAATACTCAAGTCAGTGTGAGAAAAAGTTTTTAGAGAGTACTTGTCCATGGACAAGTGAGTTTGGCAATTTACTTGTCCGAATACATTTTTCACTTGTCCAGAATGGACAAAAATTGGGGCCACTGGAATCTTCTTCTTCGCCATCGTATTTTACATTTTCCCACGGTTTTTATGACACCGCTAACGTAAGTGAGCGGTAAGATTTTACTGCATCACACAAAGGGTTGGGTATCGTTTGGATTTGAACGATTCCGGTTCTGCTTTTCGATTCCGGTTATTTTCGGTTCCGGTTCTTTGAGAAGGTCAAAATAAGTGCCATGACAAACTGGGAGAAAAATATATTTCTGAAAACATTAAGTCAAATCTGTATTCCTATTTACAAATCACTTCATACTGTTGAATTTCTTACAGTTATTGAATACAATTATATAAAAATAATCTCTGCATTGTTTAGTTAGTTCTAAGTGGTGCAGTTTGAGAATGTACAATTTGCCCAGTCTCCTCTGATGTTACACTGCAACCTGCCTGTGAGACAGAGTCCAACCACACATGTCCAACACATAGGACATAACCTAATAATACATTATATTTATAGCCTATAGGCCTAGCGCTTTTTTACAACTCAAAGACGCCTGCACGCATTTATTTAGCCTGCTCACTGTTTGTAAAAGAATATAAATAGTATTTTAATTTCAATAATGTAGCTACTTTCTATACCCTGCTTCATAAACAATACTGACATCCCTGTGCTCCTCCGAGTCTGGGGGTCCGAGGATGTGAGGACAGCGCAGGGACCCGACAGGGAGGCGTCTTTACTTCATAAAGGAAATGGCGTCAATTTACAACAAATGACTAAACGCTGAGAGAGAAGAGAGAGGAGAGAGGAGAGAGAGAAAAGAGAAGAGAGAGAGAGAGAGAGAGAGGAGGAGAGAGAGAGAGAGGAGAGAGAGTAGGAGAGAAGAGAGAGAGAGAGAGAGAGAGAAGAGAGAGATAGATAGAGAGTATTAGAGAGAGAGAGGTAGAGAGAATATAGATATATAGTATAGATTATATGATAAATAGATCTATCTCTCTCTCTCCTCTCACTCTCTCTCTATCTCTCTCATCTCGTTGTGTCTCTGGTCTCTCTCTCTCGTCTCTCTCTCTCTCTTTCTCTCTCTCTCCTCTCCTCTTCTCTTCACCTTTCCCTCTATCTCTTCTCCTTCTATCTCTCTCGTCTCTCCTCATCTTCTATTTAACTCTTTCCCTCCTCTTTATTTTTGTTTCCGATCCTTTCCTTGCCCCTCTTCTATCCTCCCTGTACCGGACAAGTGTTATTTGTTCTACTAGTTTTGCTTCCCAACCTGCACTGGTGCTACACTTCCTCCCGCCCCACCCCCCCCGTCTAACTGTACAGAAAGCGAGACGAGATGGCTTTTTCTTTAGGAATCGACAAGCAGAACCGAAACTAACATTTTAAACGACAATTGGCGACACGTACAATTTGCGAATGAGTTCCTGCCTTTTGTAAAATGAAAAGTATTATAATTTGTCAATAAATCAGGATCAGTCAGGGGGCGAAAACGTCACTTGTCCGCCGGACAAGTCAATTGAAAGATCTACTTGTCCGATATTGTAAATAACACGTCCCGGACGGTGGGACGTGTACTTTTTCGCACACTGCAAGTAAAGTACTACTATCTCAAAATTCTAGTTCAGTACAGTACTTGAATAAATGTACTTCCCACCTCTGGTCATCCCCAATGTTTAGTTTTTTGTATCAGTCAGATCAGGCTATTATCGGGTTAACACAGTTTAGTTTAATCCCAGCACAGACCTAAACACAAAACAATGTTGCCTCATCGCATTCAATTAAAACACTTTTTCGATATTGCCAGTGAATTATATTCTCTTCTCATGTGAACCCAAAGAAAAAGGTAGGTAAAACATAATCAACAAATGGTGCAAAGATGTCTTAAGATGTGTAAAACAGACTTTATTTATATTTGATAGAAGGTACAGAAAGTAATGATGTGACCAGGTCAGTGTAGGGGTGGGCACATGTTACTGACGGTATCGCATGTTCTTTGTTACGACCAGGCCAAAGCCCCTGCTCTGCCTCTTGATCTCCATTGTGGGGTAACCCACCTGTTGCCCCTGATCCACAACACAACATCTCTTTGGCAACAATAAAACACAAGAGACATGTTTTTGTTTTTTTCAATCCTCCCTCCTGTACTGGTACATTACATCAATACTCTTAAAAGTATTCTTGTCGAGATACAAAAATATTACAGACGGCTGTCTAGATGGTTCTATGCAAACAAACACTAGAAGACACTACATGTTGATCACAGAGCACTGTGCGCTCCAATACCCCATCAACACACCTTCCATTTCACTTCCTATCATTAACACACACAGAAAGCAAAGCATTGAAACATATCATGATCATGACATCATTCCCCATTGCCTTTAACAAGCTGATCAGACACATTAGACTTAACACTTAACTGATCTATCCCATCCCTGTGACTCTTCTTTCAAATCTGAAAAGAGTCAATATTTCAGCTTAATACCAAAATCATAGAACAAAACTGCTCCAAACAACGTCAGTGTAGCCAATATAGAAGCAGGAGACAGTAGCAATGAGCAATAGCTGGAACACACTAGATGTATGATGTGCTGATTTACATTATGTAACAGCATGTTTGTTCAGACAAAATAAGTATTTAACAGCTTTTATTATTGTTGTGCAAGTTGTTTGTATTTTAATGAAGTGGCCTGTAGGGCTGGGCAATATGATGATGACAGGGCTTCTATCCTTTGTAAGGGTCCATTTATGCTCATTTTCAGGTGTGCCTCTATTCTGATAACGTCCTTTCTTTTCTCGCACTGCCTGTGCTGCAGCCCCTCTTTTCACCCTCTGTCTGAAACCAGAGCCCAGTCTGCTCTGATTGGTAACCTAGACGACTCATTGGTGAACCGCTTAGAAACTTCCTGTCCCTGAGCCTAGCACGTATCATGTGTAGGAGCATTAGCCAATAGAAGCAAGAGTGTTACGTAGTGATGTCACTATGTTACATAAGTAAACAACTACTGCCACTGATATCTGTGGTTTCAAATTCATTATGTTTTAGCTTAGCTGGAGCTTTGCATCAATGTGACGAAGAACCTTGACTTTTCAGATGTTCTAATCTAGACAGTTATTTATTGACTCAATTCAATTGTGATTCAAAGTTCTGCAAAACGTACTTCAGCAGGAGGTACAGTATAACAAAACTGCAATATATAATATTTCATGTGCTGTGATTAAGATTTCATACATATTGCCCACCCGTATTGGCCCCTATTAGAGAACTCATCCATCATGTAGCATTCCATATCATGAATCATCGATATTGCTGAAAATGTGTTTTTGGCAGCAATAGGAAACATCAAAATGGATTTCCATGATCATGTGTCAAGACTAAAAGACAAAACTAAAAACGGTCCCTTTTTGTCTTTAATCAAATAATGTTTAAAGATGATGTTTTCTTATACTTAAAACCATGCATTGCTATTATAAAAAACTGTTTAATTAGTGAAGTCTGAAATGACTTCTTTCCTTATTGTCACTATAGTGTTTTGGATGTTTACAACAGGAGGGATTGGTTGTGATGGCGGTGCTGGCATTCAATTTGGTAGAGAGAATGAGCCACATGTATGTTAAAGAGTACAGTAATGGTCCTGATACAAAATAAATAGTCACAAAATATCACATTGTTCAGGTTTGATCAGCTGTTTCCATACAAAAACATTCTGAAACCAGACATGACCCATCAAAATTCCCATTGCTTCCTGCTTTCTTTTCCCTTTGTCTCTGAATGAACCCAAATATGAACATTATATTACTTGTGATACCTTAAGGATTCTTGTTGATATTTTTGAAGACAAGCAAAGCAATTTCCTACAAATTCTGTGGAGCTGTACAGTCTTCAAAGTGCTGATCCTCTGTTGAAAAGCCAAAAAGTGGAGGTGTCTTTGCCAAGCGACCGTTTGCACAGTTCAACTTTTCTTTTCTCTAAGTCCAGGTGGTTTCACACTCTCATGAATGCTTCCTGTCATAAATTAAGAAGTGAAAAAGGTGGAATATGTGTTGCTTTCCAGGTTTTCCAAGGTATGTCCTTCCATTGTGTCTCTTTGATCCGAAAAAATATGCACAATTCAAAGTATCCCCTACTTTCATAGATCTGTTTACATCATACACACAGTATATATTAATATTCTGTAATTTTGTATATATTAACCATTCTCTTTTCATTGTTCTAAACAGCTTAGGTCAGTAAGCACAACCTTTTCAAAAGTGTCCACAGGCGGTAAGAGGCACTGTCTTGTGTTTCTAAAACCTGACGTCAAGAAATAAATAAGAAGTCATGCTAGCAGGCCGAGTTGTTGTCACGGAGAGGCAGTAATTATCCACAGGTCATTATTCTTTGTCCCCATCCTCGCTGCTTCCTGCAAAACACAAAATGAGGCAAGGAGGTTTAATGAACACAATTCGGTCTGGGGCGATAAGCTGTTGCCACAATAATTGCTTTTTTAATGGGCTTGTCCCCCACATTGGCGTGCAGTCTAACACAAGAACAACGTAGCATCTTCTAAACAATATTATATATATATGTCCATACCTGTTTCTAACTATGTTAGAGTAACTCTTACAGTCGGGGCATAAATAAAAAAACAATTTTAATTCAGTTATCTTAATATTTTGAAATAAAATGCACTCTAAATTATGGGCAACTCAATATGGTTTTGGTGTTAACTGTCTAGGACACATTCAGAATCATAAGTCGGTTATCTTCAAATATCAATGCTGACTTTTTTAGACATTTTCTTTTTGTCCCTTAGTTCTGACATGCTATGTTTCCCAGTTTTAGTGTCATCGATCATTCAGTCACAACTGCTTTCAATCTGTTCAGAAATTCTATCTCCTTTTCATTCCTAAAAAATATGTATTAAGTTGTATGTATAGGCTACTATGTAAGAATCAAGTCAATAAAACCTAGTCCTAGTTCAAAGGAACCCACCTCCTGCAGAGTCCATATCAGAGTCCGAGATGTGTGTGATGGAGAAGCGGGACACGGTGGAGGGGGAGACAGTGAAGCGGGAGAACTGTACGGCTGGTTTGGGCTCCGAAGCTTTGGGGATGGAGCGTGGTGGGGGGGAGTCGGTTGCCGCTGAGGATGTTTGCAGAGGAAGCAGGGGGAAGTCGTCCTCCCACTCATACCCTGCACCTGGGAGCAGACAATAATATATTTAGGAAGGTATATTGCTAACTCAATTAGTTGTTATGAATGTAAAAACAAGCATCTTTGTATGTACTACATTTAAATGTTTTCTTGTACTTACTCTCTTCCGAGATGTTCCCATCTGAAGAGTCATCCGAGGCGTTAAGCCTTTCATGGGATTTGCTCCGTGAACTCTGTCCCTCTGATCCTAAAGGGAAGCCATGCTCAGCTAGCTCCTTAGTTGGGCTTTCCTAGTGGCAGACAGTGAAGGAGAACAAAGTTATAAAGACTTGAGACTTGAACAATTCAAGCTGTATGATACATTGCCACGAGGCTCCGCAGTTTGAAAAGCAAGCATTTCACTTGCTTTTTAGAGAGTGTTATATTGCAGCTAATGTATTAGCAAACTGCAACATTAGCATGCTACGTCAGGAAGGTTTGTCTGCCGTTTACCCAACAGAAAATGGCAGACAATACCCTTAATATGACATAAACACAAAAGCAATGAGTTCAAAAAGGTTAAAAAGGTTTGTAGAGCTGAATAATTGGTGATCATTTGCAATGAATGTTAAACTATGAGTGGCCTTTTCAGCCACAAGCTAACTTGAATTTATGCTAATATCAAAAACATTGATGAAGGTTTTATAAGTTCAGAACAGCCTCTCTTACCTGATCAAATAGGTAGACAGTGACATCATCAAAAAAGGACACCGTCTTCTTCTTGCGTTCAAGCTCCTCGTCCAGGTTTTCTGATGTCAGCAGGGTTGACAGCTTCAGAAGGCTCCGCAGTTTGTGGTCCTGGCTGTTGTCACTCACCACGATAGGCACTGGGTGGCACTCGTCATCGCTCTCGTCCCCTCCGCTCTGTTCCTGCACACTGTAGCTTCGCAGCTCCTCATCCGACTCGTCGCTGTCATCGGTGTCCACGTCCTCCACATCCCCCTCTTCCCCAGACCTGTGGCCCTCTGTGGCAGGGACTGGAAGGGGAGGAGAGGATGGAGGTGGTGGAGAGGATGAAGAAAACCTCCTGGTGTTTGCCCTGTGCTGCAAGGCTACCTCGTCTTTGGGTAAAGAGTGAAGGATTTCACCGGATATCCCTGATGGCCTGTTGTGAATTGTCTTGATCTCTGGCTCTTCTGCTGTTTTTAAATCTTGAGGCGAGTCTTCGGCTTCCTCCTCTACCTTGACAGTGGCGGTGCAATCTTCATTCAGGGCACCAATAGCCTCTTCCATTGCCCCCACAACTTCTGCTGCCCAGTCTCCTAAGGATGAACCCTCTTCCTGAGATGGCCATTCGTCCAGCCCACCTTCTGCTATTGAAGCATTGTCAGAAGACTCCAGAGGTAGCCCCAATACCTCATCGAGACCGCTCTCTACTGTCAAGTATGCAACCATCCCTGGTGGTGAATCCATTCCTCCTGTTGACATCTGTTCCATTTCAAGTTGTATGTCTTTGTTCACTTCAGTGTCCCTCAGCTCTTCCTCATCCTCCTCATTTTTTCTTTTTTCACCCTTATTTTCTCCCATGTGCTGTTCCTTTTCAACCATTTCCTCATGCCTTACTGTCTCTGAATGTTGTTCCGTGTCGTCCCTAGAATGCCTCTCATTCTCATAGTCTGAAAAGTAGGCAGAGTCTCTGTACGGAGTCTTATCACTAAGTGGTAAAAAGATGTGGTCGCCAGTCTGTGAGGCTCCTGAGGCCAAATCATTCCCCAATGAGGGTTCATCCTCTGTGGGCACTACTTTATCCTCACATCCATGACCCTCCTCCTCCTCCTCCTCCTCCTCCTCCTCCTCCTCCTCCTCCTCCTCCTCCTCCTCCTCCTCCTCCTCAAGGCTTGCGTCAAGAGTGGGCTTCCCCAACGGTTGTTCACGGGGTTCATGGGGCTCTTTGAGTACAAACTCAGGGCTTTCGTTATTTTCTGTGTCATAGCCACTGTCCATAGCTTTAGGTGAGCTGGAAGGGTTGGAGGACGCAGGGCTGAAGCCTTCACAAGACCCGGCGGCAGATGGCAGATCCATGGAATCCATGGAATCGGGAGTTCCTACCTGCTTATGTATCGACTTGAAGGCAGGAGAGGCGTTCAGCTCGCTGGTATCATCTGCAAAGATGCCTGAGGTAACGTCAGTGATATCGTCAGTGTTGTCATCCTCCTCCTCGTCATCACTGCAGTCGAGTATGTCAGCAAGACTTACACTGGAGCCTCCTCGGTCGACACCGCTGTCACCGTTTTGACTAATCTCAGACTGTGGATCTGTGAGGGCCACCATCACATGCATGTTGTCAGCTGGAGGGGGAGTGGTTATAGCCGTTGCCAGGCTCACTTCTTCCTCTATAGGTTCTGTCTGTCTTTGAATGATTGAATTGTCCTTGATTACATCCTCCCTCTTTTCTTTGAAGTGTGAATCACCCATTGTCAGATCAACATAATGCTCTTCTCTGTCCTCACTCTTCATCAAGGCAGGTTTGGCCACAATGGGACCCCCTGGAGCTGGTGATAGATTGATCATCTCATCATTGCTTGGGGTGTCAACGGCCTTATCGCTGATGTAGCTGCTGTGAGTGTAGCTGTGACTGTAGCTGTGACTGTAGCTGTTGTTTCTGACTAGCAAGCCTGTGAGCGGGTCAACAAAGTGCGAGTGGCAGCACTCTCCAGATGCTGGCACCTGAGTCTCACTTTCATGGCACAGGTAGAGATAGGGGTTGCAGTTGTCTGATTGCACCATTGGGGGATGTTTACTCAGACTAAGGCAAGCACTGTTATCTTTTACCTGTTGGGGCTCAAGATAGTCAATGTGTTTGGGAAGCGAGTGGAAGGCCAGGCTTTGCTCCTCCGGCCAGGAGTCTTCAATGTCTGTACTTGGCATCGTGTAGTGGAAATCTACGTAAGCATCCTGCCTGCAGCTGTGGCTAGCGCGTCTTTGGTGACTGCTGTGGCGGTGTTTTGAAGGCCAAGTGTTGCAGGTGTGTCTCTCAACAAATATGTCCTCTTCTTCTTCCTCCTCTGTGTCACTGTCTCTGTGCCCGATGAAGAGTGCCCCCTCCGTCTCCATGTTAATACTGACAGAGTGGCTGTTATGCCTGGTGTGGCTGGGCATCGTCTTCCTCAGGGAGCCCATCATGTCGTAGTAGCCCCCTGTCATGTTCTTTCCTATGATGGAGTTCTGACTTGTGTTCAGATATGGGTCTCTGTAGGCCTGTTGAGGTGCACTGCCTACGACGGGGGCTACACCTAGCTGGTTATCGAACTCCCCCAACGCCTGGCGCAGGCTCCTTGACCCCCAGCTTTCCTGATGGCGCTCACTGGAGGACTCATGTCCAATAAGATAGTGATCCATCCCCAATGGCGGTGAGTGCTCATAGTAGTAACCCCCATCTCTGTCTTTATAGGACACGTAGTGACTAGACTCCCAGGGTTGCAGTGGGCTATTGTCCAGAACTTGCCCTAAAAGGGGCTCCATTGTCAGAGAGATGGCAGGACTTGAGTCATTTGAGTCGTACATATCAGACTTATTGATATCTGCTGACCAATAGGGATCCATGTTGTTGCCCTGTGACGGGCAGACCATGCACTCACCTGAGTCTGCACTTCCTGTCAGAAAGCTCCCACTGCTGCCCTGGTAGTCTGGGCTGTAGGAGCACATGGTGTAGTCCAGATCAATGTTACAGTCTACTGGCTCTTCAATGCGGATGTAGTATTCACTGTTTACTGAGGGGCTATGGGCACTAAGAACAGGGAGTACGCCTGGAGCATGCAGATGTTTGGATTGGTAGTAAGGAGAAACTCCATGGCTTCTCTCCATGGGGCAGCCTCCCACAATGCCCCCGGGTGGGTAAAATGCTTCCTGATAATGATGGTTGACCTGACTCAAGGCACCAGAGGAGTCCGGGGCTCTATACGACTGGTTTGCTCTGGCTTGTTCCCATTTGTACTCAAAGTTTAGGCCGTGGCTGGTCTCAGTGACTGTTAGTATATCATCTCCAGACTCAGAGTGGTAGCCATCAGCAGCTGAAAATTGCTCAAGGAGAGGGAAAGATGAGGAGGTTGAGGAGGGGTGGGTTTGTGACATTGCCAGGGCACATCGGTGGCTGTTGAATACGGTGTTGGGGCGCAGGGAGTTCCATCGCCTCTCAAAGTCCTCTTCGGCCTCACTGGCCCCCTTGGCACACAGGTAGCTGAGCAGCAGGTGGACTTCCTCTGCAGTAGGTCTCTGGTCAGGTTGGAGCCAACAGAACTGCATCACCTCATACCTGAGGGATCCAAGCATAACACAAGTCATATACACATATAAGAGAAAACAGGTAGTTCCAGCAGATAACACCAACCGGTGCAATATTATGTAATGTGCCTTCAAGCGACCAAGAAATTAAGACAACAACAATTTTTTGAAAGGGAATCAAAACCAGTAGAATAAGCATAATAATTAGAGCCTGTAGAATAAATAAGAATCCAATTATCATAGACGGAATTAGCATGTGTTGCTTTGAATGTGTTCAATGTAAGAACTGTACATGCTTTGAACTTGTTTCTGGCCCAGGCTCTCGTCATCTCACACCTAGACTACTGCAACTCCCTCCTGGCTGGTCTACCTGCATGTGCCATCCGACCTCTGCAGCTCATCCAGAATGCAGCGGCTCGTCTGGTCTTCAACCTTCCTAAATGTTCCCACACCACGCCGCTCCTCCGCTCCCTTCACTGGCTTCCGGTAACTGCTAGAATCCACTTCAAGACACTGGTACTTGCATACCATGCTGTGAATGGATCTGGCCCTTCGTACATCCAGGACATGGTTAAACCGTACACCCCAGCACGTGCACTTCGCTTTGCATCAGCCAAACGACTCGCTGCACCCTCACTACGAGGGGGACCCAAGTTCCCATCAGCAAAAACACTGCTATTGCTATCCTGGCTCCAAAATGGTGGAATGAGCTCCCCATTGACATCAGGACGGCAGATAGCTTGCACACCTTCCGGCGCAGACTGAAAACTCATCTCTTTCGACTCCACTTCGAGCGTTAGAACTATTAACGAAGCACTTTTATACTAATAAAGGACTGGCTTACCTAAAGCCAGTTGAGTAGCACTTGAAATGTTTGGCTCTATGAAACCTGATGTACTTATATGATTCTGTTTTCTTCAAGGTTGTATCTTGTTGGTCGAACGCACTTATTGTAAGTCACTTTGGATAAAAGCGTCAGCTAAATGCAATGTAATGTAAATGTGTTCCTGTGTGTGTCTCACCAGCGTTCGGCCAGCGGCACTTTGAGCAGAGGCATGGCCAGTCGCAGCTGCTGCTCCCTCACAGTGTACGTCAGGACCTGTCTGTCAGAGTAGTGTCTGTAGGGCTGGTTGCCCAGCTCAAACAGCTCCCAGATGGTCACACCCAGAGACCTGAGACACAGGATAACATAGATTTTGTGATTATTAAATATAAAATAGCGATTAGATCAAGTATTGGTCATACCCCCTGTGTAATCTAGTCTTAATCTAGACCAAAACATATCAAAAAAGGGATACCTTGCTTCATCACAGTCAGAACTTTATTATTTCACAGATCGTTATCTTAAACTTTTCTCTACTTGACTGCTTTATCTTTCATTTTTTACAAAATGCACAATAACTAACAGTATTATTTCAGATAAAATAGGCCTAAGGAATGTCCAAATCTCTCTGAAAAATGAACAGAAAAACAATCAATATTTCCTAACAGAGTTTTGTAAGCACTGACATATAAATTAGATATTGTGTGTGTGTGTGTGTGTGTGTGTGTGTGTGTGTGTGTGTGTGTGTGTGTGTGTGTGTGTGTGTGTGTGTGTGTGTGTGTGTGTGTGTGTGTGTGTGTGTGTGTGTGTGTGGCCTACCACATGTTGCTCTGTTGGGTCTGGTCGGCCACCAGCAGGTTTCCATGGACCTCGTCCACCAGCTCTGGAGCGATCCAACGCAGCGGAACATACATCTGATCTGATGTGACCAAGTAATCATCCTGATAGGAACAAACACGTTGTGTTTATTTATTTAGAATTTAGTTTTATTCAATCATATCAGCTGCACAGTCAAAATAAGCAACAACAACTAAACTAAAGCGTTTTATGGTTACTTTTCATCATTTTTGTTGCTTTGTTTTCAATTTCAATATTGTAATCAAAACATGTGAAAATAATCTCTGTAACATGTACAATATCTAGGAACTCACTTTGGTGGACTGAATGCTAGATCCTTTGTAGATTCACTCATGAGGCACTTAGATAGTTATGGCAAGGCAATGTACTGTATACAGACAACAAACTGTACCAGGAATCCTATCTTCCATGTTGTTTCTTTTTTTATTCCAAGTACCCTTAACACGTTATTCCTTGCAAATTTTTAATTATTTGCTTGTAAAATATATATGTGTTTATATTTGACTGTGTGCATGTTTTTCTGATAAACACCTTGTATTTGCTCTGGGACAGGCCGTAATCTCCAACCTTCACGGAGACATCAGCCGTCAACAAGCAGTTCCTCAAAGCCAGGTCACTAGATACAAAGGGGGAAGAGGTTATGCAGCTGTTATAGCTCATTTTAATTAATTCATATACAAATTAAGAGCAGACAATTTGAAAAAGGTAATATTTGAGAAACCGTGCATGCAACACTCTGACTTATTGCAAGATGACATCATTCTTTTTGGAGTTGTTCTATAGTTCAACACTGCTATCTGTACAAAAAGCTGCAGACTGAGAGGAAGCTTGACTTGTGGAGATGAGGTCCACCACCTGCAACAAAATCACTGATGCTGGAGTCTGTGAGGATCACTCAGGCAGCACCAGGATATTGTTCCAGGAAGCAACCAAGGAGCAAATGGCATATTTCCAGAATATCAAAACAGACCCGGGCCTGGGGATGTAATTTTGACGTGTTTTGATATTTAATATGCTCACTACCTGTGCGCGAAGTTGTGTTTGTGCATGTGTAAGAGTGCTGAGGCGATGTCACAGGCCATCCGCTGGAGAAGCAGGGGCTCCGGGGTCATGGCTTCTGCGGTCCTGCAGCTTCGGAGGTAACCCTTCACATCTCCCTGCACACAAAGTAAAACATCTGTATGTTACAAGCTCCCACCACTGGAGGGCAGTGTTGTATTGTACTGTGCTTAATGGGGCCGAGAGTCAACCATCTTTTGTGCAAGAAGGCACATCTGGCTTGGTATTACTATGTGGAATAATGAATAGACATGCACCAACATTGTGTCCTCTGTTGCATGTGTACATTTAAAATGTTTTAACAGACCATTTCAGATTATGGCTGTGCTGAATTAAATGTTTTTTCTTGTTGTTTTTTTACATGATGATGGATTTTTAAGCTGCATTTCAAGTGGTACAAGCAAAGCAGGACATATAAACCTGGGTTGAACTGTCAAATATTTATAGCAACTGTCAAGAATGTTTTTATTGCCTTTTTCGATCCATTTAGGGTGCTGATGAGTTACAAGATCTAATGCAGACTTTAAGATGAATTGGGCTTCATTACAAATATTATAGCTCATATCTTACATTGTACTCTATGTTATTTCAATATGTTATAGCTTCATTTAATAACACTTAGCAGTAAAAGGAACATTCTAGCACTCCTCTCAGATTCAGACCCTGTGACATGTCTTCAGATGTCATCTTAATCAACGCTTAACATGTGTAAGGCCTTGGGATACTCACCAGAGGACAGAACTCCATCACCAGTAGGTAGGGAGTGATCTCTGTGCATTGGGAAATACATGCCAGCAGAGCAGGGTGCTGGAGGGAGCTGAGAGGAGGAGAGAAGGGGAGAGAGGAGGAGAGGAGGAGGAGAGGAAGAGAGGGGGAGAGGAAGAGAGGGCGAGAGGAGGAGGAGAGGGGTAGAGGAAGAGCGTGTGGTCACAGGACACAATGAGGCAGGCAGTGAATTGTTATGTGTGTAGGTTGACTTTGATATTTTTTTTCAGGATGATTTTTTTTTTTTCATTACCATTGTTAATGTTGTTCTTAGGGTGTTAGTGGTTTTTGGATTTGTATTTTATTCTAAATAAAGGTGTCTTGTTAGCATGGATGGGAAATCATTATTATTTATGCACTATATAATAACGCAATAATAAAAAAATCCTATTTCCAAATGACATGTATTAAAATAAAAAAAGTCAAAAATGTCATTCCTTAAGTACAGTTCCAACACCTGAGAATTGACAGTACAGTCAATTTGACTAAGATGACTTTTCCATTGATGACAGACAGATAGAATACAGAAATCCAAACAGAATCAATGGTGAAAAAGGTAAATATGTACCGGAAAGGCTTTGCTTCATCCAGGAAGTGCATCTGGTCCTGCACGCTGCCGCTGGCTTTCAGTTCCTTCACCACCACTTGGGAGGAGTTTAAACCGGTGTTCAACTCCCCCAGCAGAACCTGAAACAGTAAATATAGACATATACACACAGGGACCACAAGTAAACAGACAAACACACACATTTACATACAAACAAACCCATTGAGTATGGAGTGGGAGTGAGCGTTACACAAAGACAGACACAAAGACATGAACGATCATGCAGGAGTTCAGGGACAGGAGACCAAGGACAGACAAATGCAGACAAACACACATACAGATGGACATACCCAATCAAGGTACGCAAGGATGGAGAGGACGCATGTATAGTGATGAGTGAACAGTTTGAGTGGAGAGAAACAGACAAAGAAACAGAGGGGGAGAGAACGAGAAAGAACGACAAGAACATGTTATCTGGTTGTAAAACACCAAACCATATGGTCTAGCCTGCACTGATGGGTTATTATTCATTTGAGTTTTACATGTGTCCTTTTGGGCTAAGTCTGATATCAAAGGCCAGGGTTTGCATCACACACTCTTGTATTAAAGGTAACTCAGAGTGTCGGCCAGGATCACAGCAGAGACTAACAGCCGTGGCATGAGGTTCACTGATCCTTTGATCTACCTGACGGGGAGCTAACAAACCACCGGGCAGGAAGTTATGAAGATTGAGGGTTCAGAGGTGGGCTTACCTTCCCGAACCAGCCATTCCCGATTTCTTTCAGGTAGAGCAGATTGTGGCGGCTGAGATCTGTGGATTTCAGGAGGTGGACTGCAGGGAAGAAGAGAGGAGAAAGGTGTTACAGGGATGGAAAACTGCATTTCAATGATGTTATTGTGGTGTTTACACAGCTAATCACATTATGCTGCATTACAGCTTGTTCACATACTGTGGTAAAGTGGTTTGGATGTGTTAAATGGGTTTATCCCACCATTCAATGCAGTGATTTCCATATGACTTATATATGATGACCATAATGATAACAAATCTATTAGCCGGAGTTACATTAGTGTAATGTTGTATAAGTTGCATTATCAAACACACCATTAGTAATGCAGGATAGATTCCCTCTGATGGATTACACTATCAAGCTCAAGCTATTAGCAAAGTGAATCGATTTGTATATCTCTAGAGGATGGATGGAAACCAAAGGATGCTTGAGACAAAAGAAAACAATGTATAGAACATATATAACTGTATAGACCTCAATTAAAAATAGTCTCCAACAATGTCAAGTCAAATGAAGTAAATGGTCCAGTAAGGTACTCAAATAAGATAGTATGTGGGAAAAAAGTATACTATGATTAAATATATATATATAGTATGTAGAATTAATCTGAAAAAACATAATGTCGAAAATATGCAAAAAAACGGCTTAAGTTGAAAATATCTCAATATATTATATTGATCTATTATATATTATTTTTCAACATACTTTGACTTCTATTTCAACATACTATGTGTCTTCTTTTGCATATTTTCGTCATACTATACTATCTCTTTGTTTATTTTTTCGACATACTATACTTTGTATACTGGTCATAATATACTTGCATATTTATGACAGACATTGTTATGTGGTTTTTTAAATGTTTTAAAAAAAGAAAAGTCATTGTATGGTATGTCAAAAATATTAAAACAAGTCGAAGTACAGTCATTTAAAGTGTGAAAAAAGTGGTAGTATAGTACGTTTTAGTTTGTAAGGATGTAGAAAACATGTTATATTATAGCATGTTGCACATATTGAGAAAACTGTCATAGGATAGAGGTATGTTGAACATATCAATAAAATGTATTATTTAGTATGTTGAAAAAATGTAATAGTATGTCCAAATATATGAAAATAAATATAGTATAATAAGAAACAATTAATTGATATGTCATACTATACTAAGTCAAACTATTTGAAAACAATTAACAGTAGAGTATGTCTTAAACTATGTCAAACAACTAGAGTATAGTATGTTGAGAAAAGTCATAGTGTAGTATGTTTAAAAATCATATTCCTGCTAATTGTGTTAAACGTGTACTTTTGAATTGTATTTGATGAACTTGTTCTTGCCTTGTTATTTAATATTGTTTTATTTGTTGTCTTTATCTGTACTGTCACTGTCCTCTAACAATGTGCATTCCCCCTGGGACGAATAAAGGAATTCTGATTCCGATCGGAGAGTCTAGTAGGTTGAAAATATCATACCACAGTAATTGTATAAAAAAGCATATTATGGTATATCGTCATCATAATACAGCAATGTCATATATGACAAAGAAGATTATTGAAAAATATGAAATAAAGTAATACTTTAGTTAATAAACTAAATATCTTAAATGTTTTAACATCAAATCAAATCAAGTTTTATTTATATAGCACATTTATAAACGATTTTTGGTGGAGCCAAAGTGCTGTACATATAATAAAATTAGCCTACAGTAGAGACACTTTACAGCAAATACAACAGCACAGATTGTTCAGAATATCAGTATGAGAAAAAACGACACCCTCTGTCCTTAGACCCTCTGTCCTTAGACCCTCTGTCCTTAGACCCTCTGTCCTTAGACCAACATACTACGTAAAAGATTCATACTATAGTAGTATAGTCGAAAAACAGACTACAATCATACTATGATGCTACATACTATTATTATCAGAAAAAAAGCCATACTATATTATCTGAAAAATCTTAAACCACAATAAAATATGTTGATACAACTCATAGTATGGTATGTCAAAAAAATAGAAAATTGTCATAGTATATTACATCATATAGTATTTTGAAAAAATACTTATTATAGGATGTTGAAAATAGTCATTGTCGTATGATGTCGTATGTATGTCGAACATACATACAAAAAGTCATAGTATAAGTATATCCAAAGTTTGTAAACATGTCACTGTAGAGCATGTCCCAAAATATGCAAAACACGATACACTATGTATGTTGAAAATATGAAAAAAGGCATAGTAAAGCAGATTAAAAATATTCGGAAAAATAGTATTGTATGATGGAGAAATATGAAGTCAGAGTATAGAATGTGAAAAATATTGAAAAAAGCTCCAAGTAAAGTACGTTGAAAAGACAAAAGCTTCCTGTTGGTTGGAATTCATGCTATCCTTGTTTCTTAACTTTAACACTATTAAACTTTAAGTGATAATACACATATAATTAAACATTTTTGAAACAACACAGAACATTCTGAGATAATTCTGAGAATAACCTCAAAAAGCACATTGGCTTAACAGAAAAAGGATGACTTACATCTAGCTAGATAGAATCTGGCAGAGTGTATTTACTTAAGTACTTTATCCAGTCCAGTTTTGAAAAAAACGGCATTATATAGAGTCTAATAGTATGTTGAAAATATGCAGAAAAAGACAGTGTAGTAAGTTAAAAAAAAACAACGTAATATAGTATAAACATTTTTTTGTCGCACTATTTTTTGAGTACGCCTCTATCTACTTCCCTGCTTGACACAATAATGTACTTTTTAATACACTACACACATATTGTCGGCTACTTAACGAGGGGTTTAATTTAAATGAATAAATATATTGCATTTTTATGGAGGTGAATCATAAACCTCAGTAATACAGACCAAAAAATAACACATAACATTGAAAGAACGCACCATATCCAGGATCTTTGGTGGACACCATAGATATTCCATTGTCTGTGAAATCGATGGTCATTAACCCTCTCTAACATGGATCATCCAAACATGCCAGTGGATGTTGCTGGTCCATGAGTAAACAAAGTGTATTCTGTATTCAGGCCCTGTTCTGTCTGACTGTTCTCCAAACCCCTGATGCGTCTCTCAGCATCCCCAGATGACCGGAGTCCTTCCTGCCTGCTGAACACGCCTGCCTGTCCGTCTCAGCTCAGTGAAATGAAACGGCTCTTCCCCCCTCACCATCCATCCCCTTTCTTTCTCTCCGTGTCTCCCACGATGACACTTAGAGTCTGGGCGTAGAGGCGGACAAACTGATCTTTGTGGAGCTGTCGTCGCCTTGCAGACTGCAGCACAGTCCAGTCCCTGTGTGTAGCCATATTGGACACCCCTGTCTTTCTCGCTGGACTGGTCATTCCTTACACCCACTCACCCTCTCTCCAGCGCTAAGCAGAATAACAACCATTGTTTGGATGCTTGGGGAAGCATGGCACCAGTTAGGACCAGTTAGTAGGCACACACTGGGGCTATTATCCACATGCTCTATGACAGAGGAATGAACTGAGTCTTGGCGACAACAACGTCAAGCAATGGATCCCAACCTCTCCCAGTTCCATTGGTATCAGCCAATCAAATGGTCGATATGAGTGGCTATCAGCCTCATTGATGTGGATCAGAATTTGCCTGCTACACCTTTGGGTTTATGAACTAACCACATGGTTGATCACTGAAGGAATATAATTAAAGAATCAAAGAATATAACCCCAAAACAAACACGAATACTTTTGTATATTGTAAATTCTACGCTCTTTCCTGAAGAATACGTTTTGTATGAGTTCTAACCACTCCTTTGCAACATTTATATTAATTTCAGTTTTACATGTAACAACTTTTAGTTTTTTAGGTTTCACTTCCACTCACAACCATGCCATCTAGTTACCCTCAAATAATAATAATACTGATGGAACAATGATGAGACTTATCCTGGAGGACGATATTATAATATTGGTTGTGTTTTGTCCATTGCTTAGCAGTTTTTTATTTGGTTTTGGAATAAAAAAGTAAGTGAGTTATGAAACAAGTGATTCATAGTTACAATAATACATTTGTTTTCATGAACTACACTTTCAACACGAATAAAGAATTATATATGTATCCCATGTCTGTCTTAACCTGGTAAGTTCTCATATGCCTTTACAGCCATTACACCAACTCAATTTCCACCTGACAGCTCTGTATGGTCTTTCTAAGCTGTTTGTTGCATCTCTCTCTGTAGAATGCACCTAGCTTAATCGCTATAGTAGACAGGAAGTCTTTAGTGAAATGCCAATGGCTAAATCACTAAGAGTCAAATGGAATTCCCATTATACTCTCCAGTCCAGTGCATCCTATACTCTGCTGAGCTGTCCTTAAACAAATATACACTGATGATGTTTGCCCATTTAGTTGTGTAACTCAATTGGTAATGGCAGCATGTGGAGGATTTAAATGTTGATGTACTGTATGTATAATGAATGCAGACATGAGAGGAGTAGGATGTGTTGAATACATGTATGTCCTCTGACTGGAAGAACATTTCAATGTGTGAGTGTGTGCGTCAGATTCATCGTTGTGTGTGTGGCTGTTCACATGTCTGAGTGGGTGTGGGCTCCATTACTCAGTGCAGGAACAGCTGCATCAGGGCGGGTCCTGATGGGGACTGGGCCTCGGACTGAGCCAAGCTCTTACATTACTGGTGAGTCAATATAGTTAGAGGCACATACAACATCCTAAGCAACACATATAATAAAAGTATGGAAAGTATAAGAGAGGAAATGTACAAGCTAGCTTCAGTACAGTACAGTATCATAGATTCATTGAGCCATTACATTTCTCTCTAATAAAAAAAACACAAATCTGTTTGCCCTTATGATGTCACTGGGCGAGGCAGTCCTGGAGGAGCAATAATGAATCCCTGACCCCGACCACTATTGTAATACCATATAGTTGCTATTATTCACACGGCATATGTGGAAGGGCCAGTTCAATAAAACCACAGAACATGGTGAGGACATTTTCTTGCACGTTATCAAGCCTTGCAGAATGTTTGGGTTTTGAAATGTCTTAGTCTAATACCTTTCCGATCAATAATTCCTTCTTTATAAAGGAAATTCCATTTTCCTCCCTTCAATTGATATATTTTTGGTTTTCCAAAGAGGATAAAACAAAATCTACAACAAGGATAGGTACTGTTTAGAGAGAAAATATATTCTTTGGGATTTTGGTGAATTTACCTTTATTTTTGTATTATCCAGCTTGTGTTATATAGGTTTTTGTGCATGTTAATGGTCTTAAAAAAGGCAAAAATCCCAAAGTCTCCTGGGAGTTTCTCTCCCACACATCCCCCCCTGCCTGAAACGCCTCATTGGACTGATCGACATAGTGACATCACTACGGAACACTGGAGCTTCTATTGGCTAGCGCTCCAACCTATTGCACGTGATTGAGGGGCAAACATGCTGCGTTCACACCGGACGCGATGCAATGCAGAGATACAGACAGACGCAAATTCGCTCCGACGGCGAGCATGAAGCGGTTGATGCGAATGTCGCGGCGATTGAAGAGGGCCGCGACAACCACTCGAGTTCAATTTTTTCAACTCCAGCGTCAAATTCCCGTGATGTGATCTCGCGGTAGCCAATCAGCGGTGAGGATCTCAGCCTGCCGTCACTGACGTAGAACCACAAAACCAAAACATCAGCCGATAGCTGTTAGCAGTTAGCACTGAGAGCTCACAGCTCCTCATAGTCATATCTATTCAGAAACTAGACAAAAGTTAAACAAGTACAAACCACAGACTGTCTGTGTCATGGCGAATACAGTCGCTGGTTTATTTATGTATGTAGGCCGTTGTTGTGAGTGTGGACGGAGCATAAACGTTAGCTTAGCCTGGTCGATCCGATCTTCATTCAGAAAACAAGCATTTTAAAAGGTTTTTTGCCTGCAGACTTGTCTACAGACTTGTCAAAGCATTAATTCATGGTTTGTACTAACCGGTATCAGTATGTTGTTACTTCGGCATCATTCATAAACGTGTATTATAATTAATTAATAACGGTAAAATATGTTCATTTTGTTGTAGTTGTAGCTCCCGAGCCAGCGCGTCTTGTTTGAATGATGCGAGTAAACACAGCTGACTGCCGCGGTGAAACTCGAGTGATTAGAGCGAAGCGAATATTCGCATTGCGTCCGGTGTGAACGCAGTTTAAGCAGTTGACAAATCACAACAGAGCCGGCCAGCTAACCAATCAGAGCAGACTGGGCTCTGGTTTCAGACAGAGGGTGAAAAGAGGTGCTGCAGCACAGGCAGTATGAGACAAATGAAGAGCATTAAAGCATGGAAACATGTCACAGTAGAGACTCTACATACTATTATGAACCTGACAATGAGCATAATAGGGTCCCTTTAACTAGCGTGGGTACAACCATATGATTAAAAGACAATTAAATTCAACTTGAGATTAGATCTTGACTGAAGTCATGTTGACTGCGTGGGCATGATCCATTAAGACTCACAACACTCCAGTGTCATAAGTTTATCAGGCAGCATCAGCCCATTAACGCACAAAAGGAGCATTGTCACAGAGTAGCAGAACGAGAGAAAGACGGCGACAGAGTGAGGGAGGAAAGCTCTCACTGGGGTTTTGTGCTCGTGCATGCCTGACATTCCAACAAGCAGCAGTGTAGGCTGGCCGCTGGGACTTTATTACGCAAGAGGCAGATGTTTGTGGGAGAGAGAGAAATCCAAAGAGCACAGAGTCCGTTCTGTGGGGACCTGCAGTGAGGGATTGTGGGAATGGTGGAGACCCAGCTGACCGAGAGCAGCGTCAGGGCGGAGCTCACTCCGGGGACACACTTTGACAAACGCCAGATACACGCTCGCTCTCACATTACTCTCATACCCTTGAAATGTACTTGAACATGTAAGAGTCTGGCAGTTTTACAGAGTTATTGCAAGGTTTGCATCAGAGTGAAGACATACATTACAAAGCACTGACACACCGTCAAAATGATATCATGACTGGATATTCTTTGACCATCTAATATTCCCTTTCAACAGGAGGGATAAAGCCTAAATGCTCTAAAATGTAGCTTGGGGATTTTGAAGATTTCATGAGTGAGAAGAAATAGCAGAACAAGTTCTCAAACTCTAAATGATCACTTTAACTGTCCCTTAATAATGATTTCCAACTAATAGCCCCATGCTTTTTTAAATGGGACATATTATGCAAATGTTCAGGTTGATATCTGTATTGTGTGTCTCTACTGTGACATGTCTCCATGCTTTAATGTTCAAACAGCTCTTTATTATTTGTATCATACTGCCTGTGCTGCAGCACCTCTTTTCACCCTCTGTCTGAAACCAGCAAGGTTAGCTGTCCAGCTATGTTGTGATTGGTCCACCATTTAGGGATGTGTCGGACATTTTGTGTCGGACATTTCCACTACTAGAAACTCCCACTACAAGAAAGGGAAAACCTAAAAAGCATAAAAGGGCCTCTTTAATCTGCACCCTTGCAAATAGAAAACTATTGTTATTGTGTGATTTTCTTCTTTCAACAAAACTACAGCCTGATTTTCAAAAAAACGTTTTAATCTCTCATGCTTACGTTAACTTTTCTTTTACTTTGGCTGCACCTTATGAGTTTGTTTGAAGTAGATGGAGCCCTAGATGTTAAAATGAACAGAACCAAAGTGAAGCTCCACCCACCTGATCGAGCAGGCTGCTTTGACAGCGGCAGGGACACCTCGGTGAGCGGCAGGATGTAGACGTCCGGGCTGCCCTGGGAGGCCGACGAGGCCAAGGTGGACATGTCTGCATGGTACTCCTCCCCTTCCCCATTCTTGAATTCCTGGAAACAGATGCACGGAACAGGTTGCTTGCATTAGAATGGCAACTAGTCATTTGAAGGCTCAAAATGTGAGGAGGAAAAATTCACAAACATGACATAATCTGCCTGTAGATCATAGATATGTAATATTTGGCTGCATCAATGTTCATGTAGAAATGAAAAACCCCACCACTGATGGCTGATTGTTTTGGCTTGACCGTTGAAGAAGAGCTGAGATAAACTGATGCAAGCTGTCCTGGCTCGCTGCAGGCTCAGTGGAGCACCATAACATAAACAAAGCCCCAAAGATTATTTGTGCTAAGATTACATGTTTCTCAATCCCCCACGCCGCAATTAAGCCTGATGGATTAAATATTAAATATAACAATTAAATATCAACAGAATAAGAATATTCACAATTGTATGTATTTGATGGCACTTCTTAAAGCTTTACCCTGATCCAACTTTAACCTTCAAAGGCCAAAAGCTGCACCAAGAGAAGATTTATGAATAGGTCTTAACAACTCTGATCGGCAAATTAGGGTTTTTACAAGAGACTGTGATAGTCTCATCACACTGATAACTTTGAATAAAGATTTTTAAATGTATAAAGGGTAATGAGTCACTTTGGAAGAAACTAAGTTACATAAAAAAACACAAAGAAACGTTCCTAATAAAATTGAACGTGTCAAAAAAGGTAACATAAATAAGAGAATTTCTTTTGTATGAGAAAAGATTGTTCAAACATTTAAATGCATCCATTTTTCTCTCTCTCTTGCTCATTTTCCTTACCAAACCTTTTTTTTCTACCTTTTAATGGATCAACATCATTGGGTGGAGCAACTTTCCCCAGATGAAAAACTGCTCTGTAATCACGTAATTACTTTTGGAGTGATGATATGGAGAAGATGAATAATGAGAACAAAAAATAAATATATAAATGCCAGAACATTCTGTTGTTCTTTGTCAGAGTGTTAGTGTGAAGGGTTCATTCTGTCTTAGGAACGCAGGGACACATCACAGGATGCAGCAGAGGAGGGGGGGGGGGGATTTGGCTGCATCCACCGACCGGATGTTAGAATAAAAGTCTCTTAGTTAGAAGCTGGAAAGCAGTGGGGTCCCAACACTGGAAATATGTGACCTGCTGCAGCCCTCTGCAACACACAAACACACACACACACACACACACCTCAATCTCTCACTTCATCCTGTCCCCCAAGAACGCGAGCACATACACAGTACACACATGTGCAAGCTGCAACCCCCCTCCGCCTCAGATCCAAATCTTCACACGGTCCTGCTCGCCCTCCAATTCAACATGTGGTTTTACTCACATCGACACACACACACACACACACACACACACACACACACACACACACACACACACACACACACACACACACACACACACACACACACACACACACACACACACACACACACACACACACACACACACACACTATAGATAATGATTCATTAGTAGATTAACTCAAGTAAGAAAGTAAATAGACATAGAAAAGGTTCATTACAATTTGAGGCAAAATACTCATTTGGGAAGCTGAAAGAGGAGAAGTTTGGCACTTTTGTTTGATAAAACTGAACTTCATTACATTTCATTGTTAATTTAAAAACTGCAAATACTTTGCAAACTAATAATTGTAATGTACAGTATCGTATGTTGATATATGTGTAGTAATAGGTTAGTCTATAACAGAGTATTTCAACTTATTCTGTATATTTTAAATTGGGAATTCTGTATTCAATAGATAGTCTATGTATACAATTCGTTTTTATTTAGTATTATTTTAAACCATGTGCAATGCCTCGTGAACATGCTGCTGCAATAAAACAAAAACAAATAATCATTAATTTATACATTTTCTTTCACAATTCAATAAAAAAAGAAAACAAATGAACAGATATGAGATAATGATAGGCAAAACAAATCACTTTCTCACATCTTTACAGATCAACATTTGATTAGGTCCTATTTGATGTCCCTGATGCATGAGGCTTAGTTTTTCTGTGACCCCCAGTTATCTTACCTTTCCTCAGAGTCCACAGGGTGGGATGGCAACACCCTCAGCTTAGTTTTCAGCATGTCTGTCTCTGTCTTTCTCTCTCACACAACCATAAAACACACACACACACACACACAGGGTTCCTATTTGTGTGAAGGGAGCAGGGCAGCAGGAGGGTGGTGGTGCCAGGGAGAGCGGCTGCAGAAAGAGGCATCATCTCTGCAGAGAGAGTCTCATTGTTGAGTCCAGGAGAGGAGGAAGAGGAGGAAGAGAGCTGACCACTGACTGTCCCCGGGACTGATAGGGATGGAGGGATGGAGAAAAGGAGGAGCAGGGGGGGAGGAAGGAGGAGGAGGAGCGCTATCTCCCAGCTCACAGGCCAGAGCGGATGGGGTTGTCTCTTGAGGGAGAGGAGGAGAGAAATTGAGCCCCCACAAAAATGTGAGGGAGAAAAAAATACAAGTGGGAGGATGGGGGGAGGAGGAGTGGGGGGGTTCACATACTATACATGTGACATCACTCCCCCTCTCTTCCTCTCTCTTTCTCTCTCTCCTAAAAGCCAAACAACATCTGCAGGGCAGTCCCCTTCCCCAGAAAAATGGACAACACACACACACACACATTTTTTGGATAACACTTATGCGGATCATCCTCAATCTGCTTTAATTCATGACCTCTGAACCTGACCTCCACCTTCATAATTATATGCCTTAACCTGAAAAGTTATGGAGCTTTACATTCATTAGGCTTGTTTAACTGTTTAACAAATCAGAATGCGCATAGAATGAGTAATCCTAAATTGATCACTAAATAACCACTACAAATGATCCTTAGAAAACTAATAGTTGTCCCAAATATTGAACTAATTCCGCTTATTTTTTGTTGAAGGTCAGATCCAGGTTTTCTTAAGGTATTTTAACACATTATCTTGCCCTTTGTACGGTGGCCGAAAGTGGCAAACGGCCTTAAACACTTACATTAGAACAAAGGCGCTGCACTTGCAAAAAACGATGCAAGTTTGAAAACACAAATGTGCCAAAAATAAATGCAAATGAAGAAACATATTCACTGACTGACTTGACAACTCATGCGCAGTATTTACTGTATAAACAAAACACTACAAATAACTACATAAAGGGGACACTAAAAAGTGACGCACACAGCTGGGACTGGAGTGCTTGTTGATGTTCGGGATTATAAAGTTGGCCAACTGTCACTCGCAGAGTTAGCCTGTTTTTAAATGTTTTATCAGTATATTTGAATTAATAATAATAATAATAATAATCCTTATATTTATTATAGCGCTTTATCAAAGACTCTCAAAGTGCTTTACAAATACACATTACACATACAGATCATACATGTAATGGTCATCTACTGTGGACAATACCCAGGGCCGCCCCTGGCCAACTTGGGGCCCCAAGCGACATTGTGAGATGAGGCCCCCCCCTGCTACCGACAGGAGTGAAACACATTTTTTTGGAAACAAAGTAGGCTACTTTGCAAATATAATTCCTGTTTATTATTAGTATCAACACAGTTACTTTTGTATACAGTGAGGTAAATGCTAAATGTGCATGTACGTCTGTATTTCCTGCCAAATACTAGCCTCAAAAAGATTAAAATATAATGAATGCAAATAAACTACTTCTACTAATAATAATAATCATAATCATAATCAATTCAATAATATAAATACTATATTATTTTATTATAATATAGTTGTCATATAGTCAAGACAAAACATGCTTATGACATGCTCAAAAACTGATATTTCTTAAATCTGTATTCAAATGTAGTTCCCTCTGTGTCAGCAATGTATCAACAACTACACACACATTTCTATCAGTATTTCTCTGTGTTGTGGTTGACATGATGACTGTTAGGAGTTAAGGGGAGAGGCTGAGCATCACCAGAAATGTGCAAATTGACATACAAATGAATAAAAGGGGGAAAAATGCTCCATGTTTTTTAAGCTGTAAACTTTAACTGTTATGTAAGCCAACTAGACAGACAGTGTATCACTCTTCCTCCAGTACATTAGCAGATAAAAGGCATAACATACTTGAATGTTAAATAAAGAATGCTGGAAATAACTGCATCTCCATTAGCCTATATGCTATGCTGAGACTGCCTTCTTCATGTCGTGAATTGCAGCTGATGTTTTAATATGGCAATTGGCAATTTGACTTTCGCAAGTTGTACATTTGACTCATACAATAATTTCACCGACATCTCTTCACCTGCACTAGTGGCCGTATCAAAGCCGTGATTGGTCAGATGTCGATTCATTGCAACGGTGTCGGGTTACAGACGTGCTCCCCTTCTCACCTCTCACTCTCGCGGGGGGTGTGCGGAGAACTGAGCGGAGAACTGCGCACAGCAGCTGAGGCCCTCTGGGCGGGGCCCCCTGCGCAAGGCGGGGCCCCATGCAGCCTGCGTGATTGGCCTGTAGGGAGGGGCGGCCCTGACAATACCCACAGGAGCAAATTCGGGTGAAGTGTCTGACTCTTGCCCAAGGACACAGCGGCCTGACGCAGTGGGGCGGGAGCCCGTTTCGAACAGGAGTTCCCCAACGCCCCCTTGATCTGATGATCAAACGCACAGACCACTGCGCCACCCGTCCCAATTGACTAGGTTAGCTGCGTGAGCTAGCTAGCTAACAGCAGATCTGCAATAATATCGGAAGGAGCCATGTGATCACATTGTTAAAATAAGCCAATACAACTTAGATTTAAGGGTAGTTTCCAGTGACAGTTGAAAGTTGAGTTTATTCTAATGTAAGTGTTTTGGGCCGTTGTAACATGATTTGGCCATCGTAGTTTTGGGAGTTTCATTCTCCTTAAACCATACTGAAAACTTCCAACTACAATAGTTATTTCTTTAAAGGATTACTTTGACATTTGAAAAGTGCAGTTATCTGCTCTTTTGCAGGGGTTAGAAAGAAGACAGGTATTCTTAAATGTTGAGCTATTCCTTAAAATGTAAAAATAA